CATGCCAGACATCCAACCGCCCCACCACTGACATCTCCGTGACATTCAACCTCCGTCAGAATCTCATCTCCAACATTGACATCTGCCAGCTCGCCCCCCCTCAACGGCTGCATGTACACTGCGCGCTGAAATGCGCGAGTTCATGGACTATGTCCACAGCGCATTCTATGAGGCGACAGGCTGGCGCCGCGACAACTCGTACGCCGCGCTCAATGCCACGTCCGACGGTTCGCACCCCCTCCGCCGCTCAAAAAACCTCCTTGATTCTCTCGTACCCATGCGCTGACACCGCCGCCCAGCTCTGCTAGACTTCCAGACCCCGCGGGGCCTCCGGCTCACTCTCTCCTCCCTCGCGAGCGCCAACTTTGCCACCTCGTACCAGCTCGGCTCGGTCGGCGTCGTCGACGGCTCCATCTCGTACCTCTTCTCGTCGGTCCCCCTGCGCGTCCACATGACGCCGCGGTCCGAAGACGTCTCGCTCCCCGAACTGCTGCGCTCGTACCGCCCGCTCTCCCCGCTTCTCCCCCGGACGCCGCCGACCGCGACCGCCGGGCCCGAGGCCTCCCTCCTCTACGGCAGGCTCTACCTCCCGCAGTCGCAGCTCGAGGCCCTCGCCGTCAGGAGGCTCTCCCCCGCGCTGCAGCTCCAGCTCAGCGCCGTGTCGGCCAAGCACCTCCGCGACGGGGGCACCGTGCTCGGCCTCGCGCAGTACGACGTCGGCCGCTACGCCTTTGAGGGCCTGGCCTCGTCGGACGGGGGGCTCCTCGGCCTGCGCGGCCTCTACAACTTTGGCGGCGGCGGCGGCGGCGACGCGCACCCGCCGCCCTCTGCTGGTGCCGAGGGCGAAAAGGAGCGCGTGTACGGGCGCTTTAGTACCGGCGCAGAGGTGTACTACGGCACCTTGAACAAGTCGGGCGGCGTGAGCTTCGGGACGCGCTTCGCCACGCTGCCTGCGCACAGTGGCACTCCGCTGTCGGCGAGCCTGACTGTCAACCCGCTCATGGGCAACGTCGCTGCTAGCTATGCCGTCGTCGCTGGTAGGCACTGCAGCCTGGCGACGCGCATGGAGTTCAACGTCTTTAGCTACGAGAGCGCGTGGGCCGTGGGCATGGAGCTCTGGAGGAGGCCGCTGCGGCGGGTGGGCGGAGGGGGGGACCGGCCCGGGGGGGAGTACAAGGAGAGGAGTTTTCGGGCCAAGATGGAGTGGCGGCTGGACGAGCCTGAACTTGTGCCGCCGCCGCAACCACCACCACTACCGTCAGAGCCGTCAGAACCGGACCGGGTATTGGCGGTTCACAGGGGGAATGGGGGCGAGGAGTATGCGGGTGTGTTGAAGGCGAGACTGGACCAGAATTGGAGGATTGGCATCTTGTGGGAGGGTAGGGTGAAGAGCCTGCTGTTTAGTTTGGGCAGTGGCATTGACCTGAGGAAACTGGATAAGCCGTTCAGGACGTTGGGGTTGGAGATTCAGTTCTCTTCGTGACGGGCTGTCCAGGGGACGGTACATGAGTGTATGAATAAGTGTCTAATATCTGTATTCTATCTTGGCAGAGCATGCATCTATGGTACCTCGAGTACATGTCTTCGCTTCACAAGCCTAGCTAGTCTCGATCTGGTGATGCTGTGGTTTCTGAGGCCGTGTATTCTTCTGTCGGGAATAATGCACCGCAACGCGACCAACGGAAGCGTTGTTGCGTTCATGCACGTAATTCCACTTGGGGTTGGCAGGGTGGTGCCATTCATCAATACGATATATGCGTAGTTGAGGAGATGGTGTCGACAGATCCACATGGATAAATTGGTGAGCCGTGCCACCTCGCGCTGTTCGGAGAGTTGCCTATAGCAGATAGAATTTTAATGTATATACTCCGTAGAAGGGAAATCATCACCTCGGAGGAGTGGATTACAACGCCGTCTATTTCTGCTTCTCAAAAGGAAACGCAACAAGTTCCATAAAGGTTCTGGAAGTTTCCTATGCGACATAATCATCTACTTTGCTGGATGCAATAAGTGGCATGCCAAGCCAATCACGGATCAGCGGCCAACTATGCAGAAACGGTACGGAATACGGTTCCAGATGCATCCCAGTAAGACGGCGCTTGGTACATACATGGAAGCTGCCACAATGCTTGTCATCTGCAACGTAACACAAAGGTTTGTTCCCTGCGCTGGACGAACGTCGAACTTGGAGGGGCATTCTGCAGCGTTGGCTATGAGACGTTGGTTACGTGAATGTTGGTGTTGTGATGGTTGCTACATATGTAGTGGAAAGTGGTGCGATGCGGCGGATGCTAAGCGGAAATGGGAGCCGGGAGAACCTCAAGACGACCAAAGTACTTTTGGCCAATACTTCATACCAAGTTTGATAGTTCACTGAGCCCTTGGAACTAGGTCAGTATAACGGGCCATATTAATCTGGCGTCAAGGCCCGAAGAATTTGGACTGCTGGTGCATGGAGGCTCACACCTCTACCCACCCCGAGGTTGCGCAGGCACCGCTGTTAATCCTGATGACGGACTCTCTTGATCTCTGAAGCCTGTTTCAAGGAAAACCCACTAGTAGCAGAATAATTATGTTGGGAGCCAACCCTTGCATATTGGACTCGAAACTCGTGGATAGCTATGGCTGCGTCGTAGGCACTGACGTTGTCGTTTCTTTGTCTTTGTTTAATTCAGCCAAACCTACGGAGTACGGAGTACGGAGTAAAGCTTCTGTCATTGGACCAGGTCATTTTAACCGTGATGTCGGGGTGTGGACATACTAGTCCTTTGCAGGCCAACACTTTGACACCCATGCAAAAAGGATGCACGTACCATGTATGACAGGTCAACATGGATGGTCCAACTGTCGGCGCTAGTGCCATAACCATAACCTAGCCTCGGTATCAGCATCCTATGAAGACAAAAAGCTCGTACGGCCGAAACGAGGCGCTTGCCTTATGATGACCGTCATAGCGGGCGACGGATCCATTGAGAAATCGCTGTGATCCTCCGCCATTCCCCGCTTTCCAAACAAAAAAAAAAGATCCGTCTTCGGTGGCATCATCATTGAAGTTTGTCGTTCGTTCCTGCTGCTGCGTTGTGTGACTATGCCGTGACAGCCGAGCATCTGGGTACAAATCTCTTAGTTCTCTTGGCGATCCATGCTGCCTACCAAAATCCTGCTCCCAGGGCTTGAAATGGCGAGGTGCAGACACCTGGCTGTTGTGAGACCTCTGGAAGCCCCAGCCGTCAGTCGTGACTCGTACCAACCCGGCACATCGACAATGGAGGGGCGTGGGGGCGGAAGCTGTGAACCTTGATGGTGCGCCCTTGCCGCTTCCGTGCCAGTGGCGCAACCAATCAGAGAGCCGACAATTGGCTGTATCGCGTGTGGCGCATGACTGAAACATAGTCTTTGATATCGATGGGAGAGCTGCGTGCTGGATATGTATTCTTGGAAATTTCACTAACAATCAAAGGTAGGGAATTGTCTAGTGTGCTGACACTGGTCTAAAAAGCAGACAGTCGCCGTCATCGTCGCGCCGGGATAAAACAGGCCAAGTCAGCAGAGCGTTGCGTGACAACAGAGTGAATCAAGAAACTCACCAGGAGTTTTTTTTTTTTTTTGTTTCTTAAAAAGGCTAGTCGACCAATGCTAGGACTGCCATGAGACTACGGAGTACGAAGTTTCGGCAATGCTAGCTTGGTCCGGGATTTTACTAGTCAATAAAGGTGTCGTCGATCCGCGATTCAAGAAAGTGGAAGAGGTCAAGTCATGTAAATTAGGTCTGGTGGGTTTGGCCCAGGTGCCGGTTCAAACTCTGGAGCCCATCAAGGTTCTCACGACGCTGTCACATTTTGAATCCGACTTCCCACACCACTCTCGCATACGCCTACCCATCTTTGCCTCAGATCGGTTCGCCTTCCCTCATTCTGCCAGCCCGCATGCGGTCCAGCGCATGCCAGCAACATCCCAAACTGCGCACCGGCAGATCTCATCGGCCCAATCCCTCTCAGCAGCCCCGGTCCCTACGCAACCACGCAATTATTCCGTATTACCTTTCCACACTTGCAGGCGGTGACAGGTCCTGCGCATGCTTCATCCCTAGTTGCACCGCTTGTCGCGCTCCTAGACATTGTATCATTCGACTTTTCGCAGTCTTCACTTGTTGCTGTGTTCCATCTTGGTACTTACCCGCAGCCCTGGTGTCAGCTGAACACGCCTTCGCCTTTATTCATTCTCATTGGGCTGTCTCTGAGGCACGCCTGACACTGTGGTGTTTGTCGTCGTCCTTTCGGCTGATCGCTGTCGCAGTCTGTTCGGTAGCAGTTCAGAAGCACAGGACAGCAAACCCACGTGCAGGAAACGCATAACCTTAGATAAAAAGGATAAAAGGGACCCTAAACCTTGGACTTCGCTCCCACCGCCGGCGGCCTCATGGGAATAGTCCCGTCTCCAAAGGCTCCTTCCTCTTCATAGCTGAGTATCGAACATCATAGCAACCAGCGGTTCAAGAAGGGATCTCGACAAAGAGCTTTCGGCAACCTTCTGCCGATCTCTCCAACCACAGTTTTGGCCAAGGTCATCATCTGGCTGTGCGTGTGGCGCATCAACTGGAACTGGGTGGACCATTTCACTATTGAATCCGATCCATCAAGGTGTTCGCCTCGTCGGTGTATCCTAGTCTCAAGCCCTGCTGAAAATCGGACCAGACACTAGCATTGGTCCGGACCAGACGACCGGCGAACCGTGGAGACGGGTTATAAGTCTTCCATTTCTCGGGTCCCCTCCCCCGGAGAATAACTTTCAACTTAGAACCGAACCGAATCGAAAGTTGTTGTCGTTGTTTCGTCGCGCCGAGATATAATCGGGCGAAGTTGAAGAGAAGACTTGATTGTCTTGAAGCGAGTGGTGTGATCGAGAAGAAGAAAAGACCGCCCGAGTTTGCGGCTACGATAATCGTGGAAAACCAACGCTGGACTTATACCCTCGAATACACTCAACAGCAGCGCATCATCATGGCTGAAGAGGAGCAGCAGAGCAGTTGCGATGGCTCACCCGTTGACTTGGGCATGCTCGGTCTCCGCATTGCCTCCATTTTCATCATTCTCGTTGCTTCCCTTGTTGGAGCACTCACCCCCATCCTCTTGGCTCGCCAGACCAAGATGCACGTTCCGAAATTCACATTCTTCATCTGCAAGTACGTCGGTACCGGCGTCATCATTGCCACGGCATGGATGCATCTTTTGGATCCAGCAGTTGATCAGCTTGGAGACGCTTGCGTTCAGGAAAGATGGCTTGGCACGTACCCTTGGGCTCTATGCATTGCTCTGATGACCATCATGGTCATGTTCTTCGTTGAGCTAATGGTAGCCCGTTTTGACGACGACGACGCCGCCCATAGCCATGCGACTGGCTCCGACTCTGGCTCCGACCTCAACGAGGTACTGGCGATTAAGAAATCCTCAAAGCCGCAAAAGGACAAGAATGTTCAGGCTGAGCCATGCCCCCATGACATCGAGAATCAAGGAGCCCTCTGTGGCCCCGATCCAACTACCATCCCAGGACGCCCCGATGATGTCAGCTACCCTCCTGGCGGTGAGGATCATCTTGCGCACCGCCATGATCACAAAGAAGGGGACTCGCACACTTCGTTGTCCGGCCAGCTGACGGCAATCTTCATTCTCGAATTCGGTGTCGTGTTTCACAGTGTCTTTATCGGACTTACCCTCGGTACCACCGGGTCGGATGATTTGAAGGTTCTTCTCGTCGTCCTTGTTTTCCATCAAATGTTCGAGGGTCTTGGTTTAGGGTCCCGAATCGCTGTTGCCGAATGGCCTGAAAGTAAACAGTGGTTGCCATATGTCCTGGCTGTTGGGTTCGCTCTCTCCACTCCTGTAGGTGTTGCAGCTGGTGTTGGTGCTAAACCAGCAAATGCTGCCACTCAGAAACTTGTTAACGGCATTTTTGACTCCATTTCCGCTGGTATTCTCATGTACACGGGACTGGTCGAGCTTTTGGCTCACGAATTCATGTTCAACCCTCACATGCGCCGGGCTCCGCTGAAGATCCAGTTGTTTGCCTTCGGATGTATTGCCTTTGGCGTCACGGTGATGGCATTATTGGCAAAGTGGGCTTAGATGTATCACGTCGGGCTCTCAAGAGCACGTTATCATCGAGGGACGTGCTAATTGGAAGAGAGCATATTGGATATGAACGGGCACATGTTGGGTTCAATCTATACCCACCCTGAAAGAAATAATACCTTTGATAGAATCTGAATTTTAAGCGAACTGCACATTCTACCTCAACAGTTGGTTTTCATACATGTTGAAACATTTGTGAAGCAAAGAACACGTAGATCATGTATTCGCACATGGCACACTGCGCTATGATATGTTGCAGCATCGTAACATATGAGAAATTTCATATAACGAAGTGAATAGATCCCACCCCGAAATGCAAACCATCATTAGAGGGCCAGTGATTAAAAAGATGCATCTTAGTAGCCTGAGGAGTACCCCGATCGTTGGCCCTCAGCTTGCACGTACATACTCACGGGACGTGGTTGCCGTGGACCCACCTGCACCGTGCGTGCGATGTTTTTGCAAATATAGACTGTCCGCACACACGGTGCTTAGTCACTCTGAGCTCCTTGGCCCCACTAGGGCCGCAAGCCCTAGCCTCAATCGAAAAAGTTCACCCACCCAGACATGCACCTCCAGGAGCATTCGCAGACCTCACGCTTCGACAATCTCGTACCCGACGCAACTCCTCACAACCACCCGTCCACCCTCAACACCGTGAAAATGACTGGCGGTATTTCCGTGCGCGACGTTGATGTAGGTCCTCCCTGAACTCAATATCCCTTGATGCACCGAGAGCAGAACAAAGCACGTTGGTCCAATTTCAGGACTCTTCTCGAGATGCGTTGAGCGATGATATTACCTCTCCCATCAACAGTCCCTCGCGACTTTTGAGACCCGCAAACCCAAGACGAATAGACAACCTCTTGCGACCTCTGCTACAAACAATGTGGACTGCGCTGAGCTGTTTCGCCCCGCCGCAGATTGGATCTTCAATACTTGAAAAGCAATGTATTTGAGCCCGCTGCGGCGGCTGGACGGGTAGCCGTTCCGTTGGGACTAGTAGATTTCGAGGCTGAAAAGGAAGATTGGGAATTGAGGAGCAGGCGCGAGGGAGTCGCAAGACTTCTGAAGACGGAATATGCTAATGGGTTTCTTTGTCTCCAGGCGCAAAAGTTCATCAACGCCTATGCTGCGTTCTTGAAGCGTCAGGGCAAGCTGCCCATTCCCGGTATGTTTTTTTATCCAGCCCAAGAACAAGCCTGGCTTCTCTCAACGAGTCATTTCTAACAAGGGGCTTTTTTTGCATTCACTTAGGTTGGGTCGATACCGTCAAGACTGGTCCCGCCAAGGAGCTGCCCCCCCAGAACATTGACTGGTTCTACGTCCGCGCCGCCTCTGTCGCCCGCCACGTCTACCTCCGCAAGACTGTCGGCGTCGGCCGCCTTCGCAAGGTCCACGGCACCGCCAAGAACCGCGGCTCCCGCCCCTCCAAGCACGTCGACGCCTCTGGCTCCGTCGACCGCAAGATCCTCCAGGCCCTCGAGAAGATTGGCGTCCTCGAGCAGGACGAGGAGAAGGGTGGCCGCCGCATCACACAGTCTGGCCAGCGTGATCTGGACCGTATCGCCCAGACCACTGCTGAGGCCGACGAGGAGGATGAGGATGAGGAGTAAATTGTAATAAAAAAACACCAAATTACAATCCGCGCAGAAGTTTCAACGGAAACTGGTTTACACTGAACCAAGGCCTGAGAGGAAAATTTTGGAAGCTTTTTGCTGCATAAAAAAGATGGTTGTGTCTCTTTTCCGGGAATGAGTGGCATGGCGTGGGCTTTGGGCGTCTTGGTCTTAGATTTACACGTATGAATGAGATTCCCCCGACTTTGGGTCATTCGGTTGATCAATTAGACCCGTCCACGTTATGAGTCTTTCTTCTCTCCGTAACTGATGTGTTGTGACTGTTGTTGGATGTATGAGCCGGCTTCTTCGGCGGTTCGTTTTGAACCATGGCAACGTCTTTGCCGCTATTAGGCATCTCACCCAACGTGACATTCATTCGCAGCTGCTAAACAGTGGCAAGCGGCTGATTCTCTGCTCAACACCATGGAAGCCAGCTGTAGACATCACGCACAGCTGCACCTGTCATCACACCTACCACGTCACCATGACTTTTCGTCTTATATTTTCCCTTGGCAGCTGCGGCAGCTGCAAAAGGTCTTTCGCCCGCTTACCTAGGTAGCTATATATATTCACCCTTCTCACGACCTTCAAGATGCCTTGCTTTCTTCCTTTAGCTACCACCACTAGATCAGCCTTTAATTCCTCAACCTCGTCACTCCGGGCATCAATCTTGATACCCTTGTTTTGATTTCGTCATTTGTACCAGTGTATAGTACTACCCAGTGTCATTCTGATTCGCATCAGGTCCGCCCAACTTTGTCGTCATCTCCAAGAAAGCGCATCCATCGCCCACGCTGCGGTTCACCACACGCCGTTGCCCAACTCTATGCAAAAAACACATCACTGTAAAACAAGACACCACATACTGCTCACAGCCCAACGCATCAGTCTCATCTCAAAAGACAATCTAGCCCATCTCGCCCGCTCCTCGCTTCCACCATCTCAGCAACACCAGAGACATCACCATGGCCACCGACCATGCTCCCCCTCCACCAGGCACGCCTCCAAGCGAAGTTCCCACGCCCGGGTTCGACAGAAAATTCGAATCCACCGAACAAATATTCTACTTCTACCACGTCATCGACACTGAAAAGGCAACGTTGCAATGCCAGGTTCTCGGGCCCAACGTGTCCAACACCTTCTCCCACACCGGGGCAATAACACACTACAAGGCGTCCGACATTGAATGCGCTCTCGCCCGCAAAACGACGGGCTTCCTCGCGCTCCTCCAGCCGGGCACCAGCCCGTCCCGCACGATCCTCGCATGGGCGGAGAGCGGCCACGGGCACAACCCCCGCGGGGACTTCCTGGAGCCCAAGTCCTCCGTCCTCTCAAACAGGCGTTGGACGGCGCGCGCCATGAGGCTCGCCAGGGAAATTGGCATCAACATGGGCCACCCGTACGACCGGCTCACCCTCGGCGGCAAGGTGGGCATGTTCCGCGCCTCCCACGTGGAGGTGAAGCTCGCCGTCCACGCCGTCTACATACTGCTCAAGATGGCCGCGATGCCTACGGATCGCGTGACCAAGGCGGATCTGAAGAGGCTGCGGGGGAGGGCGTGGTGCGGCGGCGCCAGGCCGCGGTTCGAGATTTACTTTTCCAAGAAGAACTGCTGCGCGTGCGCCCAGTACGTCCGGCGGCTGGAGGAACTGACAGGCGCGGAGATTACGCTCTGTTGGAAGGAGAGGCTGGTCAAGATTGAGTATCCCAAGAGCAAGATGGGGTCGGTGGAAGATGCCCAGAGGGAGGTTATACCCGTGGAGGGCTCGGAGAGCGAGGAACAGGCACAGGCACAGGGGCAGGAGGACGTGAATGAGATGCCGATGGTGGATCTCACGGACGACACGGACGATGTTGGGTCGCAGGAGGTGTCCGAGGTGGTGGAGGTGACGCCCGAGCCGTTGGGCGTATATGTGAACGGTCTCGCGTATTGCGTCGGCCAGATGGGGGACCGAGGCAGAGTCATGCGCGCGGTTGTAGGCCTGGCCAAGATCTGGAAGAGACAAACTGCCACGAGGGCAAGCGTGCGACGACGGCCTCAAAACAGCGTCAGCGGCGGTGAGCCGACGACCGGGAGAAGGAGGGCTTGGCTTGCGACGCCGCCCGCCTCGAATGTACCGGTGCAAACGCAAGGCACGGCACGGACTGGGTTGGAGAGCCGCGGTGCCGAGAATGAAGATGCAGTCGTCGGAGAAACATGGCCGCGACAGTATTCCTTCGTTTGCAGAGACAAGATGTCGCTGGGTAGATGATCAATACCGCGAATTTGCTATTATACGCGCTCTCTAGAATGACCACGAATGAGAAAAGTTTGAAATCGGTGCCTGTTTTCATAACAGTGGCTCAACCCAAATTCCAATCACGACATCATTGCCAGCTCCCTCACCTCGTTCCTAAACTGCGCCCCCAAAGCGCTCACTACAACCCTCACATCCGGCGCCTGGACGCTGCCCCCTCCAACATTCCGTTCCAGCCTCTTGCCTCCGATGCCCGTCTTTCCCATTGTAGTAATGTGCTTGACGTCCTTGCCCCTTCTCATCGCACCCTTTTGTGTCGGAGGCGTAATGAGCGTCTCGTCAAGCAACGACTGCCATCGATCTAGATATACACCCGGACCATCAGTGGTTCCGCCCGAGGAATCGGCCGCCGTGACAAGGTATTGCATTCGTGCGTGGGAGATGGCGTTGACGGTGTCGAGATAGGCGGCGTGCGAATTGATTGCTTGAAGAACTTGGGACTGGGTATCCGGCTCGAGGGTTGTGAAGAGTTTCCCAAGTACGAAATGGATGTCCGATGATGGGTTTGGTGGCTTTCGAAACCGGACAATCATGTCATTCCCCCATGTGCGTAGGCTCTCCCAGATATCAGGACATTGACTCGCCACAGCGTGGATCCATTTGTATAGTAGTCGTCGATGCTTCATGAGGAGGTCGACATAGTCCTCTACACTGGCCAGTTTCTCCTCCGCCGAGCCGTGCGGCTTCTTCGGCCTGCTCGCCCTTATAAACTCCTCCAGAAATACTTGAAAAGCGTCAAAGTGTTCTCTCAAATCAACACGCGAATGTACAGTCCGGATCATGGGTTCATACGCAGCGACAACATCCTTGATGGCCTGCGTAAACATGTCCGGAGGCTGGCGACAAATGGCCCCCGTGATGGAGTCTCTATCCCTGACGGACAAAAGTGCAGAATAATACTCTAGACACTGGGCATGCTGGGCCTCTGTCAACCGCCCATTCAGCGCTGGACTCCTCGCATTGAAAATGGCTGTGATGATCGACTGCGAGTTCTGTTGGCTCGCTTCCCTGACCGTATCGTGTTCCGACCTTGTATCTTCGATGTGCTCCCTGATAGTGCGCAGCATTTCATCAG